AACTCAGTTCGGACGGTGGCTCCACTCAAGAAATCTGCCGTAAAGTTTAATTGAATAGAACGGTCCCAATAGTTGTCCCGACCGAAGTCCAAGCAATCGGGTCACCCTCGCAGCCAGCGGTACAACTGCTTCTGAGAAGACGCTCCTCCGACTCGTCTGACCTCACCGGGAATATCTTTAAGATTTACGCACAATTTTTATAATTGCAGCGTTCCAAAACGCTTACAAGATGAGGACTTTATACAATAACTATTTGCATGTTACTTCTAAGATTTTTTTTTATTTTATACGACTTAGAATGGCAAACAAGCTGACGGCCCACCTAATGGAAAGTGGTAATCGTCGCCTATAGACATGAGCAGTACCATGGACATAACAGAGTATACTGTTTCGCTCATGATACCCCCCATGCGTTGCCATTCCTGAGGACTCAGGTGTTATTCCTCTGTACCCAGTAAATTCACGTCATATCCCACCCTTTAAATCGAAACACAGTCATGCAAACACAACTGCTTCACGGTTGAAACACGAATGGGACAGAGGTACCCAAGCAATCGACTTTTGTACAAAGTCTCCCTCTGGCAGACTCGTGTTTCTGTTACTAAGAAGTGGTACTTGTGCTTTTATGAAATTCTTGATAAATAGGTATTAATTTTGCACTAGTAGAAGAGAAAGTAACAACAAATAAATATAATGTGAGAATTACCAGTTTTATTAATTTCACATATAAACATGATAATAATGAAGTAAAAACAAAAATATTTATATATTTTATAGAAAAATATATTATAAAAAATCCATACAAAAGGAGATCTGTCGCCAATAGATAGGAGTTGTTAGTAAAGCTACTGACTTTAGAGTCTTGGTAGTGAATGCCTCAGTTCATAGGAACGATAATAGTTGAACGATACCGAGAACTTATATATTTGGCAATTGATTTATATAGACAAAACATAATTTATTTTCTTTAGACATAAGCAGATATTGACACCGCTGGCTTTTGTAGTAAGATGGTACGCCATTTCTATACTCGTCGAGAGTGTGAAATTTTTATTCTGCTTTTGTTTTTTCTAGAAAATTATTATAAAAGCTAAAGCTGTCTTGAAATGTATCGTTACACCTCATCAAATTTGATACATTACGAGTAAATAAGCTGTTTATACACATATATCCTACTTTTCTTTTTTTTTTTTTTCTTTTAAATGTACTCATAGATACATGACCTATTTCACATATATTAAGTAAACGAGAGGAGAGCGTTGATTGAAATAATAAAGAGTAGAAGAGGCAAAATGCTGGGCCACCTTATACGACATGACGATTTTTTTAAGAGCATAGTAGAAGGAAAGATAGAGGGCAAAAGAGGAAGAGGAAGACCGAGGATTAACTACATGGGACAGATAAAGGAAACACTAGGTGTCATGTCGTATAGGGAGATAAAGGATATGACCTGGGATAGAGTTGGCTGGAGGAAGATGCATGGATTGGTTGCACCGACAAGAGGAAACTCTTAAATGAAAATGAATGAAGTAAGGGCAGTAAATTTATTATTTCAAACTAATATTGTTGTTATTTATATCTATTATTATTGTTATCTCTGTTTTTTTAAATATATTTTTATTTGTAGTTTAACCTTAATTTGTATATTTTCTGTAATTCCTTAAATTTATATAAGAAATTTAAGTACGTAAAGTACGGTAGCCTGACCTTCATAACACAGGATTGTCCAGGGGGAAAGGGATGGTTAGTAACGGAGACTGAGAATTCCATTGCTAGCAATATACCCAACCAGGTCGACCTCCTCGCGGTTCTCCCTGGAAACTATCATGGTTAATTCCTGATGAATACATCATGATGGGCTAACTGGCCTGTTTTCATTCTCATCTATCACCCTTCACTGGTGCTCCGCCAGCGTATCCCGTTAGCACAGGCGGAGTTACCATACCATTTTCACCCATCAAAAAAAAAACACAGGATTGTCCTAGCATGGAGGCGAGAGACACTTACTGTGTCTTAATATGTAATGTATATATATCTTGTAATTACATGTGTATATTTTTGTTGAATAAATTAGTATTATTGTTTATAACCGTCGCGATAAAACGCCCAGTGCGTACACCGGTCAAAGGGCAAACACAGCGGATAGCGGCGAAGTCCGAAGTTGTAGCAACTTGTAGCGAACTTGCGGAACTCCGTCGGTTCTATTTGCGTACGACTGAGAGCTAATCCGATCGGCATCGCAAACATTATCCTCTGTTAAGATACATCGGTTTCGGCCCCTTTTGGTTTCCTATTAACATTGCTCTCGACTGTTTCTGCAGATTACGCAGTTTACGTGTAGGTATGTTTGAGGTGTATTTGTTGCGATGTATGTACGTCACATGTACTAAAACAAAGAATATTATATTTTACATATTGACGTTTGAAAGGAGAAATGAGATAGGCGACAGTTTTTAGACCATTTTGAATTAAGTATATTGTAAGAATCAGGTGGTCTACCATGAAATGAAATTCCGAAATTTCGGGTTCAATGTCGTGTTTTTATTCGTACCGATATCGACCCAGTAAATGGAGCTTAACATTTCGTTCATCATAAATCCTATCCCAATAGTCCAGAGGAACGATATTTTAACATTTTTAATAATTTTAAACGGCATGTATTATGTAATTTTAACATCAAATTTCTGTTTCGTTCGTCCCCGAAATTTCTAAAAATATTTCATCGTAGGCCCTCAGTATATTTTTTTGTGTCGATTGGTCTTTTTGTGATCGATTTACAATTTGAGAACAATTATTATATATGTCTACTTTCTTATGTTTTTATTGATGATTCACTTATTTTTGACAACAAAAAAGGTAGATATCGAATAGTTATTTTTGTATTATGATCAATTTTTATCTCTTCTTAATAAAAATACATCTCCTTTTAGGATTGGGCGTTGGTACGTATATAATTTTTTTAAACACAGGAGGCAAACGAGCATGCGACCTAATAGTAAGCGACTACCGCTGCTCATGAGCACCCGTAACATCAGAATTGCAGGTGTGCTGCCGGCCTTTTAAACAGGAATACGCCGGAACATATTATTTTTAATAAGAAAAATCTTAAAAGTTTATTTTTTCCTTTTCTATTTCAAATAAATAAATAAGTTAACAATTTGGTAAAAAAAAGATTACCAAAAGCCTTAGAAAAACTGTGCTGAGTACCAAATATTTATTTACCGTAGGATTTGCTGATTACTCTCGGCAAACAGGGCTGTGGGTGTGTTTCGAGGGTTAGAGGGGTGGTAGGGGGGGTGGAGGTGGTGTCCATTCAGTTTACCTAAGAAGCGGACCGCGGCGACTTTAAACACCTAGTACAATTTGCCGGCCGCCACTTGTGACCCCTGACTTGAACTAACGCTTAAATCCTATACAACTTCGGCACACAACGATACAGGACGGTTGTATAATTACGAAATTAAATTAAAGGAGTTCTTATAATGTTGCATAGTTAGTTTATTATTATTATTTCAGCCGTTAACTGTCCACTGCTGGACATAAGCCTTCCCCATAACGGGAGTATTGCCAGTAGTTGCCATGCTTGGCAGACGGATTGGGCCGCAGTTAGGCTTTTAGATATGTTTTAAGAGGGCCGCTGCTGCTCATCCCTCGCCCTGTCTTAGTCGTCTCTTACGATACCCACGGGAAAGGGGTAGCTCATTTTATGCTAGGGCAAAAAATCTATTTTAAACTTGAATTTTCTTTAATTTAATGATTTGACACAAAAATTGACTGAACTCTGAATAATATCTTTTTTTATACAACTTGGCCCACCTGATGGAAAGTGGTAACCGTCACCTATACCCATGAGCAGTACCGTGGATATAACAGAGTATACTGTTTCGCCCATGATACCCCCCATGCGTTGCCATTCCTGAGGACTCAGGTATTATTGCTCTGTACCCTGTAAATTCACTGCCATATCCCACCCTTCAAACCGAAACACAGCCATGCAAACACAACTGCTTCACGGTTGAAACACGAATGGGACAGAGGTACCCAAGCAACCGATAAATATATATTTAAATTACCTTTTATTACAACATATTTTATATATAATTTAATTTTAATAAATATATATTTTAAATACAAACCACTTTGTCCCACCCTGTATATAATTCAGAAGTCCCCTAAGGGTGGCACACACGGTACTGGAAACTTTACGCAAATAACCGCCTCCTCTCCGCCTCCGCCAGCCACCCTGAGGTCCGAGTGAGAACAATTTCTTAATAGCCCATAACTCGGCGTTAGCTGTACGTGCCCGAATTAGTGTCAACTTTACAGTTAGCGGACCCTCGCTCAGAGGTACCGCTGTCGATTATAACAGTGGCCTAGGTGACTTGTGGCTTTCGGGTAGCTTCCACTTGGAATGACTTATCTTAAAATCTCTAAACTAACTTTCCACGCAATTGGTATTAAACAAAAATCACATCGTATAGGTTTAATATGGAGTCACGAATCTCGGTACTCGTTCTTTCGATCGATAAGATTTGGACTCAATCGATTGGACCTAATGGTTTTGTTTTGATTTGTTATAAACAAACAATTTCGCTTGAATACTTATTTTACTACTATACTTGGTTACAAAACTGTCATCGTTGTTTTTTTTATATACAACTTAGAATGGCAAACAAGCTGACGGCCCACCTGATGTAAAGTGGTAACCGGCGCCTATAGACATGAGCAGTACCATGGACATAACAGAGTATACTGTCTTGTCCATAATAAACCCCATGCGTTGCCATTTCTGAGGACTCAGGTGTTATTCGTCTGTGGCGTGAATTTAGACGCCATACCACACCCTTCAAACCGAAACACAGCCATGCAAACACAACTGCTTCACGGTTGAAACACGAATGGGACAGAGGTACCCAAGCAAGGTGTACCTACTAACAAAGGCTAACATTGATTCTGCACGAAGTTGTTTTTAGAAAAGAGAGGTAAAAGAATGAAAAATATTTGGATTTAATTCTGTACTTTGGGAAAGAAAAATACTGCTTCATACATATAATTATGAACGTGTAAAAACAGATATTTTCATGAAATCCTTTCAACGAGTGACCGGTACTCATAACCCTCCATTATCGAGGACGAGGGCTGTTTGTCAAAGTGGCGGAAGTGGTCGGTGCGACCCCCGCGCCGCGCCTACGCTCCCACATCTGATTCTGCTTTGATCCTGCGAACAATGACAGAAAAATATTTATACACACCATTTCAACACAAAAAAAAAACTAATAACAAACCAATGTTGGTTTAAAATATTTTTATTGTAAGATTTCTGCATATTGTCCAACAATTGCAAAATGTCGTATGGCAGTGGTAGTTATGTAAAATAACACGTACGTTTTAATAAAAAAAAAGTGGAATGTACAGACGACAACTTATTTTTTTTTATACAACTTAGAATGGCAAACAAGCTGACGGCCCACCTGATGGAAAGTGGTAACCGTCGCCTATAGACATAAGCAGTACCATGCAGCAGTACATAACAAAGAATAGTGTTTCGCCCTTGACACCTTCCATGCGTTGCCATTCCTGAGGACTCAGGTGTTATTCCTTTGTACCCTGTAAATTCACGCCATATCTCACCCTTCAAACCGAAACACAGCCATGCAAACACAACTGCTTCACGGTAGAAACACGAATGAGACAGAGATACCCAAGCAATCGACTTTTGTACAAAGTCTTTGGTATATTGATTTATCAATCCGAGAGAGTTGTTTTCTTTTTTCTCCACAGTTGGAACAAAGCAGGAAATCCTTTACATTCTAGAAACCGTATTGTTCCTTCTAAGTACGTATGTAAATAAAAGATTCTTCATTTAAGTTGTCCTCAACTAGTATCGCCCAAAACTATGTAGTTGTGCTCAGGCGATTTCCTGCGCGTAAGCGAGGTCGCATGTGCCCGCGGCGAGACTTCTACGATCGAATCAATGAAAATTGTTCTTTAATCACTTGAAATAGAGTTGAAATATGAGTAGAAAGATGTAGTAGAGGAATGGTGTAATGCTGTAATTAGACCGGAGGAGAAAGGACAGGTCAAAGGGACGGAAGCTGACCGCGCGGCGTGCGGACTTCCGCGCCGTGTCACGAACGTCTTGTCAGAAAGGCACGGTGGCCGTTTGAGGGTTGTTTTACTTGTACTTACGCCCAGTTGAGTGTACTGGGATTATTCTTATGCTACTGGATGATGTTTAACCGACTTAAAAAAGGATGAACTAATTTGTATGTATTTTTTGTGTAACTTGGAATGGCAAAGAAGCCACATGGTTATTACAGACTACACCATGTTATGTATGGGGTAACATGGCTATCCCTCATACTCTGCTTCTTTTAAGGATTAACGTGTTATATCTACCAAATTGTTTATAACTACTCCTCTCCATCCAAAGGTTGCCTGGAAGAGATCGCTTTTAGCGATAAAGCCGCCCATTGTTTTCTCATTGCGATTGTTTCTTGTAATTATTTATATTTATAATAAGTTCACTATTGTAATCTTTTGGAGAAAACAATAAAGAGTATGTATCTATATCACACTTTGTAATTTCACTGAAATATTTTCATTCTTGTTCTTTAACCTGAACGCAACACACAGTCATGCAACCATAACTTCTTAGAGACAGAAATAAAAATAAGGCAGAGAGATATCCTTTTAAATAGTTTTCTTAGAATTTTTTTGTCTTATAATTTTTAAAGGAGGACCATAGAGAAGAAGAGAAAAGAAGCTATCTTAATGGTTTTTTTGCAATCAATAATTTTCTATTTAACTTTGTGAGAAATAAAATCCTAAACTACAATGATTTCTCTTTAAAAACTTTTATATTTACAAGAAGTCAGATAATGTTATTGAATAATTACAGGACTTGTTAAAATAAAAAAAAAATAAAAAACTAATTAAACCTCACGTCCCCAACTCAGGTGATCCTCAGAGCTGAGGGTCCACGAGTCGCGTCATGCGCCACAGAGCAAAGCCACGGGATCAAAGCAAGCCCTACAATTAGATAGCTAATTGGCTTGACCGCCAAACGATACGCGCCGCGCGCCTAAGATCACGCTTCCATTGCATTTATTATTGATGAACAAGTAGCGGTGAAGACTGCCCCCTTTCTGTGTTCAAAGGAGATACTCAATCGCATTTTATAATTAATAATATAATGATACTTTATTGAAAAAGACATGTACATATAAATATGTATATATAAAGTATGACAACTCAAATATATTTGTAAAGTTAGGCGCCAGTACAAAACTAGTCTACCTCGTTTTAAGAATCGATGATTCTCCATTCTTCGTGATGTATATAGGCAACAAAATATTATAACAAAACTCATTACTTATGGATATATACTTTATAGTAAAATCTACACCACAATTTGTAGTATCTAGTGTAATAAAGTTTTTAAAACTATAAATTTTCCTGTTTCGTCGTATGTAAGTGACTGCGACTAAACAATTAATCGATATTTTATATCATTGCGTCCAGTTTCTATGCAAATGATGATGTAATTTGAGATATTTTCAGCAAGATGATTTCATGTTTCATCCATTATTCGTGCAGATTGAAATAACCTAATATATCAATTCGAATTAAACCTATATTATTTTTTATATGCACCTTTATATTTTCATAGTTGTATACAACTACATATATATTTAAATTTAAGTATAATTCTATTTGATCGACATGAAGACGACGATCTTATCAGAGGGAGACTCTGTACAAAGTCGTTTGCTTGGGTACCTCTGTCCAATTCGTGTTTCAACCGTAAAGCAGTTGTGTTTGCATGGCTGTGTTTCAATTTGAAGGGTGGGATATGGCGTGAATTTACAAGGTACAGAGGAATAATACCTGAGTCCTCAGGAATGGCAACGCATGGGGGGTATCATGGGCGAAACAGTATACTCTGTTATGTGCATGGTACTGCTCATGTCTATAGGCGACGGTTACTTTTTTTTTTATACAACTTAGAATGGCAAATAAGCCGACAGTCCACCTGATGGAGAGTGATAATCGACGCCTATAGACATGGGCAGTACCATACTTTCCGTTAGGTGAGCCGTCAGTTTGTTTGTCATTCTAAGTTGTATAAAAAAAAAAAGAAGTTGTACCACAGTATATAAAAAATAATATAGTCTGATCGTATAGTATAATCACTCCCTGTGTTCGCTCGAGTTGGATTCACACTGTATTCGGATTTTGAAATATTTTTATTGGAAGTTATCCATTAGCCGATAATGTAAATGGAATCTATATTTAGATTCATCTGCATGTTTTTTTTATGGATGATAATGGAATGGTAACCCCGCTTGCGCTTACTATGCTGGCGGGGCACCAGGGAGAGTTTATAGGTAAGAATGAAAAGGCAGGTCAGTTAGCCCACCGTGATAAATACACTTGGGAGTTCAGCATGATGGTTTAAATAGGGTACCACGGGGAAGTCGACCTGTTAGGGTATCCCCTTACCCTCCTTTTCTGCATGTGGGTATCACTATCGAATGAACACTAATTAAAGCAATAATAAGAAAGCGTCATTTTAAGATCACGGGCGACATTTATCATTATAATTCAGTAAACCTGTGCAGTTAAAAAGTTCGAGCGTTTCTGCTGGTTGTGAAGTATCGTAGAGTACACTCGGGTGTAGACAGGATGAAGTAATTTTAATTGAGAGCCACCCGTGCGGAGCGCGCCGGGAACTAAGTTCCCCATCCGCCACTGTACTTGTCACAGCTCAACTTTTATTCGCCTTTATAAGTTAGAAAACAATTGTACTATTTCCATAGGTTTTTATTTAACTATTCACTATCAGGGAAACATTATTTTACCTTCCACCGCCATTTACTGAGTCCATTTTTATTTAAACATGATAAAAACTATACTGTCTTTTAACCCTTCTTTGCATGATTTTTTTTATTGGTGAAATAAATAAAAATGATATAATTCATGTTTAAAATTAAAGGAAAAATGGTTAAAAAAATAAATTTGACAGCAATGTTTTTTTTTTTCTGAAATTTACATGAAATAGGGATCCAGACACGATCAATTTAAAGTGAACTTGTTCTATTATATAATTTTTGGGCATTTAATGTTATGATGGAAATTTTCACCATTATGCAAAGAAGGGTTAAGTTTGAGCAAACAATACATATTTACAAAATTTCATTAAAATTGCCGTGTGGTCCCGGCATAGAATGGGCCACTTCTTCCTTACTCGTGGATACCGTGAGACGTGTCTCAGGAAAATTATTGATATGTCTTTATGCTAAGGTTACATTGAAAATATTGAGTCTTAGCAGTAATGTTACCTTGTTGCAGTGTTGTTAAGGTATGCATATAATTATTTAAATATGTTTTTTTTTATACAACTTAGAATGGCAAACAAGCTAACTGCCCACCTGATGGAAAGTGGTAACCGTCGCCTATACACATGAGCAATACCATGGACATAACAGAGTATACTGTTTCGCCCATGATACCCCTCATGCGTTGCCATTCCTGAGGACTTAGGTGTTATTCCTCTATACCCTATAAATTCACGCCATATTGGGATATGGCGTGAATTTATAGGGTATAGAGGAATAACAGGTATGAAGGGTGGGCCCTTCAAACCGAAACACAGCCATGCAAACACAACTGCTTTACGGTTGAAATACGAATGGGACAGAGGTACCCAAGCAAATGAATTTTATACAAAATCTCTCTCTGGTGACGTGATGTGATGTGTAATTAACATAAGCGTTTTTTATTAGTTACACTTCTAACAACAAATAACTACCATCTTTTCTTTTCTCCTCACCAATAAATAATAAATTCATCTAGTAGTAGTGTATAAATTTGGCTGTGAGTCGTATGATATGTCAGTCAGTGGTTCGACTTCTTTCTACCTTTTCATCAGCAACAACATTACAGACGTATGTAGGTATGGCTGATGTTTGATTTATTATGTTTCCAGCGGAGCCAACATTTTCCATGCGTCATCATTGCCGTTCAGACAAAACTGAGTCATCATGAAAAGAGAACATTTATACAGGAAAAAGAAATATAAAGATATCTAAAAAGTATCGGATCTCACTGTCAGCGATATGCGGATAAGTGGTGTAAAAAATGGAACACATCGACAACATGGAATATTTAATTTTGTGACACATAGAATGGCAAACAAGCCCACTTGATGGAAAGTGGTATCCATCGCCTATTTGTTAGTAATGGAGTCTAACTGGTCAGTAATACACATTATCAGGTCGACCTCCACGCGGTTCCCCCTGGAAACCATCGTGGTAAATTCTTGTGGAATTCGTCACGATGGGTCAACTGACCTGCTTTCATCCTCACCTATCACCCCTCACTAGTTCCTCGACACCTAATAGCGTAGACGGTGTTGCCATTCCATATATATATACAATCATGCCTATATATATATATATATATATATATATATATATATATATATATATATATATATTAGTTACAATAACTATATACTGATTCAGTTTGTTATCCAAAAAATAATATTGGATAACAGACTTTTAACATATACGAAAATAGATATACAATTTATATAAGTGATATCAAAAAGGGACGATGACCTTTTTTCCACCATCAATCATCAGAGGAACCCAATATATAGATATCATATGAACCCAATATATAGTAGCATAGTTGCTTTATGGCAGAGAGTTCCAAGCGAACAACGTTTATATACCGTCCTCTCTTTGGTTTGGTTTTCCGTACTCTGTAATTTGTATTTATTTTTGTAATGCCCATGTTTATAGGTGACGGTTACCACTTTCCATCGGTTGAACCGTTAGCTAAGTTCCCATTTTCAGTAATTTAAAAAATACAATTATATTTGTTCCATCTATTCTCTCTGGATCAGGCCGTGCATAGATTTTTTTTTAATGGGTGATAATGGAATGGTAACCCCACCCGCGCCATCGTTATACATTGGCGAGGCACCAGTGAAGTATGACAAGTGAGAATGAAGCAGGTCAGTTAGCCCATTGTGACGAACTCATACAAAAATTGTTCACGATGGTTTCCAGAGGGAATCACGTGGAGGTCGATCTAATAGGGCATATTGCTAACAATGGGGCTGTCAAACCTCCTTGCTAACAATTCCTTTCCCCCGGCCGTGCATAGGTTATCAACGGTCAAAATGTAGGCCGAAGTTGTTATGGTGGGAAGTGAATAAACAAATTTATATGTAGATGGACTACCTTTTGCCACGAGAAAACTTTGATTAGGAAGCGGAACAAAATATGCCATCAATAATATGTACGTGTATCCGATACGCTATTCATAAACATAGTCCAGACAACACTACTTGGCATCTTTTATTTGCAATAAATTTGGAAATAAAAAATACATTTGAAGTCATGTAATGGATTTTTTTTTTACAACACTGGGGGCAAACGAGCATGCGGCTCACCTGATGGTAAGTGACTACCGCCGCCCATGGTCACCCACAACACCTACGGCATTGCAAGTGTGCTGCCGGCCTTTTAAAAAGGAATATGCTCTTTTCTTGAAGGTTATGTTGTCGTATCGGTTCGGAAATACTGCTGCTGGAAGTTGATTCCAAAGAGTGGTTGTGCGTGGGAGAAAGTGCCTTGAAAAACGCACGGTGGAGGACATTATACATTACAAATACAGGATTATGATATATTCACGATTTTTTTTAATGGGCAAAAATGGAATGGTAACCCCGCCTGTATTATCGGTACACCGACGAGGTGAAAGATGATAGGTGAGAACGAATGCAGGTCAGTTGGCCCACCATGATGAATTCGACAAGTATTAAACATGATAGTTTCCAGGGGGAACAGCGAGGAGGTCGACCTGGTTGAGTATATTGCTAGCAATGGGATTCTTAGTCTCCATTACTAACAATCCCTTTCCCCCCATATATATATTATTTATAGATATTATTTAAAATGTTTGTTGATTAATTAATTGAATATTTTATATATTAAATTAGTAAATTTTAATAAATAAGTACCAGGTGTCGATTGTAAACTTTTAGTATTTACAAACAGACTTTAAATAGAAGAAGGTTCTAAACTCGATCGTATTTCCTTCATGTTCGTTATCTCATAGCTCCATCAGTTCAAAACTTATTTAAGTTTTGGAGTTATTTTTTTTTTTATCTGAAAGGATATATTCACAGACTGGTCTATAGACATGAACAGTATCATGGACATAACAATATACTATTTTGCCCATGATACCCCCCACGTTGCCATTCCTGAGGACTCAGGTGTTATTCCTCTGTACCCAGTAAATTCACGCCATATCCCACCCTTCAAACCGAAACACAGCCATGCATAACACAACTGCTTTACGGTTGA